TGTATACATTTGATTGAGCAGGAAACTTTGAAATCTGCTGGGGGGATGGGATAAAAAGCAGTTGCTTGCCACTTTTGCTTGATTTTTTTTTTTTCTTTAGAAATGTTTGGAAATCATAAAAGGGAGTGCTAGATTATGTGGCTTCCAATTGTACTTTACTAGGGCTACGTCTGGTAGACACTAGTCCTCAAAAGATTAACTTCAATTTCTAGCTTAAGTTAGAGGTGTTTTGATTAATTTCAGTATACCATTGATATGTCTTCAGTTACTTTCAGGTTATGTTTTTGATTAAGTTCCTTATGAAATTTATATGAGTCAAGAAGGCTTTCTTGTTTGCACCAATCTGTTAAAAATAGACAAATTAACACTTGCATTTAACAGTGTCCATAAATCAAAGAAAGATGTAGTTGAGAGCAAAAGCACTTCCATTTCTCTGGCACAGAGAAGAAAGGTAAGACCGATCTGTGTCAATATCTTTAATTACGAAGTGACTGAATTATTGCTGCAGTTACACTGCGGTGTAAGACCTTGAATCTAAATTAGTCTTTTAAAGAAATGATTGCTGAACAGATGTTACCTAAAACACTTTATTGCAGCTTTGTAAAATTGTAAATTCCTCATGCTGTTATTTTTGTTGGCATGAATTAACACTGTGGGTTATGATATTAAATTTTACTGCTGTGTTCTAGCACTTTGTTATATAATCTTACCTGTAAGCACCAATTTTGAGTTTAACTCATCAATGTCTAAAGAATACCACTGTGTAGAAACTGTCTTGTTAAGATAATTTTGCCCCTGATTGCTTTTCAGACTGCTTTCCAAGCAATAGAGTGTGTGATAAAGCCATTAAATAAATGCTGAAGTAGTGTATTGGAAATTAAAAGTAAGAAATGCTGTGGGGTTTATACAGCAGTTTCTAAACTGCACTTACAGACTGAGGTAGCAAAGTTACTGAGGGAATATTGTGACAAAGGAGGTCCTAAAGTAATAGCATTCACTGTAATCATCCAATTTACATCTCTCTGAGTCTACAGGTTTCCTTGCAATCCCTACGTCAGTTTTCTGGTTGTGTTTCTGCTGGAGAATACCCTTTGGGGAAAAAAACAGCTAGTGTTGAATCTTCTTGGTGATAGAATTAATGGGCACTGTGAGATGGGTTCTTTCTCACTTTTTAATTTAAAAAGGTACAGAGGGGATTGTGTGATTATATGTACATCCTTAGTCTTCATTTATCTAGTTTCAGCATTCAGGCTTAAGTTGGCCAGTTCTTCTAAAACTCATTGCATCTTACTTAAACATTTTTTTTTTCTCTTCTCATAGCTACATGTAGGTGCTAAGCTCTTCGTAATTTATCAGAGAAGCTATAAATGTGTGTGATGGTTTGGGGGTTGTGTGTGTGTTATATGTGGTTTTGTTTGTTTTTTCTTCTGCAAGAAAGGCAGAAATGAAGATCCCAAAAGGATTTAGATACCAGGCTGTGGGATTTCTTATTTGTTGTAAGTACTTTAGCGTGGTGGAAGGCATAGGTGTTGAAATTCTTGTTTAGCTGCTTGAGATCCTGTTACTTGCATGCCTTCTCATGTTTTAGCCAGCTCCTCTGGCTGAGTATTTATATCATAAAATTCACAGAGTAAGTCTTTTGAGGTGTCTTACTGCAAGTCATTCAGTCCTTTGTTATTAGAGTGCTAAAAGACCTGAACGTTAGGTTGTAGTTCACATGGGATTTCTCCTCCCTTATAAAGAAATCTCCAAATACAATGTCACCAGTGTTGATAGATGAGTGCTGGCTAAGTAGGTTCACTTCCTTGTAGGAGTTACTTTTGAACTAGACCCCACAACACTGTTGTATTGGGTTTCTCTGGCAAGGTCTGGTAGTGGGGGGGCTACAGGGGTGGCTTCTGTGAGAAGCTGCTAGAAGTTTTCCCCGTGGCCGCCGCTGGCCAAAGCCAAACCCATCCACGA